ACAACCAGTGTGTTACTGGCATAGGGATAGACATATAGACAAATGTAATAGAATTGAGAGTCCAGAAATCAACCTGTACATTTATGGTCAGTTGATTTTCAAAAAGCATGCTAAGACCATTCTATGGCAGGAATAGTCCACTTAACAAATGGTGCTCAGACAACTGGATATTCACATAGACATTCCCATTCACTGGATATTCTTATTCATAAAAGAATACTATTGAATATGCTCCCACCTCACATCTTATCAAAAAATTAATTCAAAATGGGGCCTAAGCATAAGTGAGACCCTGTCTCTACAAAAAATAGAAAACTTAGCCAGGCATGGTGGTGCATGCCTATAGTCCTAGTTGCTAGGGAGGCTGAGGCGGGAGAATCACTTAAGCCCAAGAGTCTGAGGTTGCAGTGAGCTATGATGAGGTCACTGCACTCTAGCCTTGGAGACAGAGTGAAACCCTATCTCAAAAAAAAAATTCAAAGTGGATCAAAGAGCTAAATGGAAGAGCTAAAGCTATAAGGCTCTTAGAAGAAAACATAACGATAAGTCTTCATGACCTTGGATTTGGCAATGGATTCTTAGAGATATGATACGAAAAGCACAATGAACAAAAGGAAACAAAGATAGGGTGGACTTCATCAGAATTAAAAACTTTTGTGCATCACAGGACACTATCCAGAAAGTGAAAAGACAACCTATAGAAGGGGAGGAAATATTGGCAAATCATGTATCTGATAAGGCTCCAGTATCCAATATATATGATGAACTCTTACAACACAGTAACAGAAAGATGAGCAACTCAAAAAACATACACTGGGGAAAAGAATCCTTATTCAATAAATGGTGCTGGGAAAACTGGATAGCCACATGTAGAAGACTGAATCAGGATCTACACCTTTCACCTCTCACAAAAATCAACTCATGCTGGGTAACAGACTTAAACCTAAGGTGTGAAACTATTAAAATTCTAGAGGAAAACATTGGAAACACTCTTCTAGACATTGGTATAGGCAAAGAATTTATGAAGAAGACCCCAAAGGCAATCACAGCATCAACAAAAATAAATAAATGGGACCTGATCAAATTAAAAAGCTTCTGCATAGCCAAAGAAACTGTCACGAGAGCAAACAGACAACCTACAAAATGGGAGAAAATGTTCGCAAGCTACACATCCGATAAAGGGCTGATAACTAGAATCTATTTAGAACTCAGGAAAATCAGCAAGGAAAAAATCAAACAACCCTATCAAAAAGTGGGCAAAGGACATGAACAGAAACTTTCCAAAAGAAGACAGAATGATGGCCAACAAGCGTATGAAAAAATGCTCAACATCTCTAATCATCAGGGAAATGAAAATAAAACCACAATGAAATATCACTTATCTCCAGTGAGAATGGCCTTTATTAAAAAGTCCCGGCCGGGCGCGGTGGCTCACGCCTATAATCCTAGCACTTTGGGAGGCCAAGGCAGGTGGATTGCTCGAGGTCAGGAGTTCAAAAAGTCCCAAAACAATAAATGTTGGCATGGATGTGGAGAGATAGGAACACTCCTACATTGCTGGTGGGACTGGAAACTAGTTCAACCTCTGTGGAAAGCAATACGGAGATACCTTAAAGCAATACAAGAAGACCTACCATTTGATCTAGCAATCCCATTACTGGGCATCTACCCAAAAGAACAAAAGATACTCTATAAAAAAGAGACCTGCACTTGAATGTTTATAGCAGCACAATTCATAATTGCAAAGATGTGGAAACAACCCAAGTGCCCCATAAATACATGAGTGGATTAATAAAATGTGGTATATGTATACCATGGAGTACTATTCAGCTCTAAGAAACAACGGTGATATAGCACCTCTTATATTTTCCTGGATAGAGCTGGAACCCATTCTACTAAGTGAAGTATCCCAAGAATGGAAAATTAAGCACCACATGTACTCACCAGCAAATTGGTATTAACTGATCAACACCCAAGTGGATATATATGAATAACATTTATTGTGTGATGGTCAGATGGCGGGGAGGAGGGGATGGGTATATACATACACAGTGAATGCGATGCACATCATCTGGAGGATGGACATGCTTGAAGCTCTGACTCCAGGGGAGAAGGGGAGGGAAAGGCAACACATGTAACCTAAACATTTGTACCCCCATAATATGCTGAAATAAAAAATTAAAAAATTTTTAAAAAGTGAGCAAAGGATCTGTATGGACATTTCTCCAAAGAAGATATACTAATGGGGCTGGGCATGATGGCGCACACCTGTAATCCTAGCACTTTGGGAGACCAAGGTGGGAGGATCACTGGAGGCCAGGAGTTCCATACCAGCCTGAGCAATACAGCTAGATATCATCTCTACAAAATTTTTTTTACAAACAAGCCAGCCTTGGTGGCACACGCATGCAGTCCTGGCTACTCTTGAGGCTGAGGCAGGAGGATCACTTGAGCCCAGGAGTTTGAGGCTACAGTGGTGTGTGCTATGTTCACAACCACTGCACTCTAGCCTTGGTGACAAAGCAAGACCCTGTCTCTTAAAAAAAAGAAAATCTATGTGTGTGTATGTGTGCGTGTATGTGTGGCCAACAAGTACATGGAAAGATGCTCAACAGCATTACTCAGAAATGAAAATGAAAACCACAATGAGATTTCACTGTAAACCCACTAGGATGGCTATAATCAAAAAGTTGGAAAATAACGAGTGTTGGAAAGGATGTAAAAAATTTGGAACCCTCATACATTGCTTGTGGGAGTGTAAGCAATGGTGCAGCAGCTTTGAAAACAGTTTGGTAGTCTCTCAAGTTAAACATAGTTACCAGCTACTGGATATCCACATGCAAAAGAGCAATTCCACTTTGGGGTATATTTCCAAGAGAAATGAAAACATATGTTTAGAATAACCACCAGGTGGCACTGTTATTGTAAAATTGAAATTTTTATAATACTGCAAAATGTTAATTTATTAACATTAGGATATAATATTATAATTGATCTGGTTAAGGCAAATATAACATAAAGTTCTCTATAGGACTACTCAAGAAAGGAAAATAGGAAGTATTAATATATCTTTTAAATTCCTTAAAGAAAATAATAATATCATTAAAACAGAATGTGATACTCTAATCATTTTATATTATTAATGCTTTTAAAGTTATAAAATGGTCAAAATTATATTCACTTGTTTGTGACTTCTAGAGTCTGTGAAGGGCCGGGCGCCATGGCTCACTTCTGTAATCCTAGCACTCTGGGAGGCCAGGCGGGCAGATCGTTTGAGCTCAGGAGTTCGAGACCAGCCTGAGCAAGAGTGAGACCCCATCTCTACTAAAAATAGAAAGAAATTAGCTGGACAACAAAAAATATATAGAAAAAATTAGCGGGGCATGGTGGCACATGCCTGTAGTCCTAGCTACTTGGGAGGTTGAAGCAGAAGGATTGCTTGAGCCCAGCAGTCTGAGGTTGCTGTGAGCTAGGCTGACACCATGGCACTCTAGCCTGGGCAACAGAGTGAGACTCTGTGTCAATAGATAAATAAATAAAATAAAATAAAGTCTATGAAGTTTAATTCTCAATTATTAAAAAGTAATTTTCAGGCTGGGCACGGTGGCTCATGCCTATAATCCTAGCACTCTGGGAGGCCAAAGCGGGTGGATTGCTCGAGGTCAGGAGTTTGAAACCAGCCTGAGCAACAGCAAGACCCCGTCTCTACTATAAATAGAAAGAAATTAATTGGCCAACTAATATATAGAGAAAAAAATTAGCCAGGCATGGTGGCACATGCCTGTAATTGCAGCTACTCGGGAGGCTGAGGCAGGAGGATTGATTGAGCCCAGGAGTTTGAGGTTGCTGTGAGCTAGGCTGATGCCACGGCACTCACTCTAGCCTGAGCAACAAAGTGAAAATCTGTCTCAAAAAAAAAAAAAGTAATTTTCAAGTATATAGGAAATTATAAATGCCTAATTAAATTATTAAAGGACACAATGTTGAAAACAACTTTAAGCTTAAGTTATCAAATAAGGACTCTTAATTGTAAGTTGCATAATATTAATAATCTCTTTTTCTAAAGTGTATAATTAACATCCAAATTTATTGACCACAACCCACACAAAGAAATTTGTTTATCTATACCCAGTACAAACATGGTTTTCTATTCTATTTTTTGATTCTTAATCTGTTTTGTTTTTTAAAAAAGTTGATTATAACTTACTGAATAAGTTTGATGACTCAATGAATCTTAACTTATTGTTTGAAAAACACTGCTTTAGTGGTATCATGATTTGCCATTGTAATTTTCCAGCTGGCCTTTTAAGATGTTTTAAATGTCTCCAGTCAAATATAACATTACAAATTAATGATCAGAGGCCAAATCTAATGTAACTAAGAGCAGACGCTTTCAATGGCTTTGGGAGAGTCAGAGATCTCTTGAAATTTTCTATTTCCTTCACCTACAACACAGCTCACCCTCAGAATCACCTGAGAAATCCCTGGGGGTTTGAGGGTGTGGCAATTACTTTTAATGATGTACCAAACCTTCCCCAAAGAACTCCTAGCTGTGCCTTTACTGGCTCCATGAATTACTGCCAGTCATTATTTAATTACTAACTGTTGGATATTAGTCTCATTGTTGTATTTTAATATCTATATTTTTCTGATGATACATGATTCCAACAAGCTATAGAAGGTGAAAATTTCCCTGTAATATCACCCTTCAGAGATAACCATTGTTAACAGTTTAGCACATATCCTTAAAGACTTTGAAATCTTTACATTAGTTTTCATAGTTTTTAAACATAGGGGAGACTATGTACACTATATTGTTTTAAAACCTGTTTTTGGTTTATGTGGTGTATCATAGACATCTTTCCAAGTTTACACCTAAAAGTCTACTTTAAGTTTTTAAAAAATTTTTCCTTTGTATGAATATATTCCAAATTAATTTGTTTGTGATAGACATAATTTTTTTTTTTTTTTTTTGAGATGGGTCTTTCTCTGTTACCCAGGCTGGACACTCCTGGCCTCAATGGATCCTCCTGCCTCAGCCTCACAAGTAGTTGGGACTACAGGTGTGCCATCAATCCTGGCTGTTTTGTAAGTTTCAAATTTGCCTCTATTTTAAATAGTATTTGCAATAAAAGCCTTTGTGCATACATCATTTCTGATTAGTCATATTATATTTCCATAGAATACATTTCTACAAGTGAGACTGTTTGCTCAGTGGATACACACACTTAATACCCTTTAGCAAGGTTGTGCTAATAATTTATACCAGGATTTTTCAACATTGGCACTATTGACGTGTTGGGTTGAATAATCATTTGTTGTGGGAAGCTGTCATGTGCATTATAGTATGTTTAGCAGCATTCCTGGCCTGTATCCACTAGATGCCACTGGCACTCCCCTTCAAACTTTTTTGTTCATTGTTATAAAATATACCTAACAAAATTTACCACTTTAACCATATTTAAGTGTATAGTTCAGTAGCATTAAGTGTATTTACCCTCTTGTACAAGCATCACCCCAATATCTCCAGCCCTTCCACTTTTGGGAACCAAAAATGTCTCCAGAAATTGCCAAATGCCTCCTGGAGGGCAAAATTTCCCTGGTCATCTACACCTTCACAGAGGGGATCGAGAAATCAAAAATGTCAGTGTCATAGACAAACTAAAACAAAGAAAGTCTGAGAAACTGCAACAGATTAAAAAAGAAGTAACGACTAAATGCAACACATAACCCTCACTGGTTCCTGTATAGAAAAAAAATTGCTACAAAGAACACTATTGGCACAATCAACAAATTGGAATATGTACTACAGATTAAAGTATTGGATTAATAATAAATTTCCTAATTTGACAACTGTTCTGGGTTATGTAAGAGAATGTCTATGTTCTTAGTATTAACAGGTAAAGGGAAATGAATACACACCTACTCCCAAATGGTTGAGGACAAAGTGTGTGTGTGTGTGTGTGTGCATATCTATCTATCTATTATCTATCTAAAGAGAGAGAGAGAGGATGCTAAAACAAATTTGGGAAAATGTTTAAACAATTGGTCATTTGGAGAAAAGGTATATGAGAGTTTCTTGTATTTTCTTGCAACTTTTCTGTTAGCTTGAAATTAATTAAAACTAAATTTTGTTTGCTTGCTGTATTTTGTTGTTTGTTTTAAGTGAATGAGAATACTCATAGCTGAGACAATTGGTTGTGTGCCTATTCTTTTCAACTCCTGATTCCTTGCTAATTTGTTCATCCATGCTTCAGAAAAGGTAATCATAACTGCAGCACAGGGTAAATCTTGATTAGTTTAGATCAGTGGTCCACAGATGTTAGTGTGCACCAGACTAATGGAATCAACCTCCAGAGTTTCTGATTCATTAGGTCATGGGCAGTAGATTCAAAGAATCTGTAGTTCCAACAAGTTTCCAGGTGATGCTAATGTTGTTGCATGGGATGCCACAGTAGCTCTCAACCTGATGCACATTGGAATGACTTAGGGGAACTTTAATAAAATTCTGATATCTGAGTTTTACTTCTAAGGATTCTAATGAAATTGGTATGGAGTAGACAAAGAAAGTAGTATTTTTTAAAGCCTCTCAGGCCTAATATGCAGCCAAGGTTGGGGATCACTGACCTTGGCCAATATAATCCCATTCCCCTTGTCAATGTCTTGTTTAGAAGTGGGTATGTGGCTGGGCATGGTGGCTCATGTTTATAATCCCAACACTTTGGGAGGATTGCTTGAGGCCAGGATTTTGATACCAGCCTGGACAACATAGTGAGACCCTATCTACACAGAAATTTTAAAAATAGTTGGGCATGGTGGTAGATACCTGTAGTCCTAGCTTCTTGAGAGGTTGAGGTAGGAGGATCCCTTGAGCCCAGGAGTTGGAGTCTGCAGTGAGCTATGATCACACCACTGCACTCCAGCCTGAGTGATAGAGCCAGACACTGTCTCTAAAAAAAAGAAGAAGAAAAAGGAAAAGAAGTGGGCATGAGATGCAGCTGTGGCAAATGCAGAGAAGCCTTTTTAGAAATGTTTCCTCACTTTAAGGGAGAGGTCACAGAACAGATTGCTTCTAGATGTTATTTCCGGATATATTGCTTAGAACAACTGTATCTATCTTGCAACCATAAAAGAAACTAGGCTTCCCATTTTGCCCAGCTCCTCCAAAGGTGAACTTTCTCCTATATATTACATAGGCAGTTGTCCTGAGACTGCTGAGAGAACCCTGCTGAGTCTTCCACCCAGCTTTCTGACACTCCCACTGTTCCAAGGTACACCTAGAATTCTAGAAAACAGTTTCATCAGGAAACAACTCTCCTTTGCATGAGTAAAAGTAGTAGAGTGGGTATGGGGATCATGCCATATTTCCCCTTTTTTGCTCCATTGCTTTATTTACTAAACCATTCCCACAAACTCTTTACCAAAGAGTTGCAGCTTATTTGTGGTAAGTACTATCTAAGAAAAAAATCTTAATTTTATACTACTACTATGTCAGAGACTGCTAGTGGCCTACTCATTCCTCATTCTCTACTTCTTACTAACAGGACTTCTCTATTATTAGAGGTGGCAATGTATCTAGTGAAAACACTGTGTCTCCCAGCCTCTCTTGCAACTAGACAGGGCCATGTGACCAAATTACAGCTATTGAGACATAAGTGGAAGATGCTAAGAAGGACTTCTGTGAAAGTTTCTTTACAGAGCTTCTGTAAGATATACAACTATTATGTACCCATAATAATTAAAAATTTATAAATTTTTAAAAAGAGCTCCCAGCCATTTTGTGATCTTAAAAATAAAAGCCATATACTCACACAATGGAACCAAAAGGAGACTGGGTCTTTGATGAGCTTACAGCTCCACACTGGTCCTGAAACTCCTACTTTTGGATTTCTTTTACATGAGAAATAGATTTTCATCTAGTTTATGTAGTTACTTTGAGTTTTCTATTATATGCAGCTGGACCTAACTCTGAAATGATACCTTGTCTCAAAACAAAAGTATCAAAAGAATATAAACCATTGCAGGGGTCTTGAGCACACCCAAATCCCTTGTCTTTCTATCTTTTCTCTCTGTGAGCATCTCCTTTGTTCAAATTTCCTTCTTTAAAACTGCTTTTAAGAGCTCTCCTCCTCTTTCAGGACCAGCCCTAGGCCCCACTCACAGGGGTTGGTCTCATACCAGGATCCATCTTCCTTTCCCAAGTCAAACATTTTTTCAAGTCTGAATTATTTGTTCTGTTTAGAATATGACTTTAGCTAGAAAGTCTAGGGTGAGTGTGGGTAGTCCAAGTTCAGTTCCTTTGGCGATATTTCCACCTAATTCCTCCTGGTGTCCAGTAAGTAACTATTATCTCAAACACACCCACGTCTCCCAAAGGCAAGCATTAATTCTGAGAAACAGTGCTGTACTGAGAGTACATGTACTCTTTCCACGCTGAGAAAGAGAAACATTTGACTCTTCTATAATCAACATAGCTTTACCCCTGCTCTCTATAAAGATAACATTTTATTTTGCCAAACAATGTCAGTTCTGTTATATCTTCTAGCTTTCAGACTTTCAGACTATGGCTAACCAGGCATTAAAAAAAAAAAAAGATTTTTGAAATTAGCTTAAGAATCAGGCCCCACAATTGAGCCATCTCTTACTGGCTACTGCTTTGCTACACCAAAGATAAAGCTTTGGAAATACCCCATGTCTTTACTCTGTGCCAGTTACATTTTTGTAGGTGTCATCCTCCTACTACCTTCTACTAAATTAAATTCTTGATTAAAGTCTCATACTCCCACTGCTCAGCAAAAGAGAGGCAATATGAGGACTTATTATCCTCTGAAACAAGTAATCCTCCACCCCCACAGGGGTGGTGTGGGGAGAAGGTTTGCTTTTCCAGTTACATAAATAACATATTCTCATAGAGCTTTCCAGATTGTTTTTTGGTTTCTTGTTTTGTTTTGTTTTTCTGCTACTGACCTTTTCCTTGTTTGACTGCTCAAGGTTGAACATTTACTGGTGCCCTGTGGGATCATCTGCAGTTAAACATTTTTTCAGATCCATATTCAGAAGGGAGTACAACAGCTCTATTCAGTTGTTTGGCATCCCAGGAACTTTTCTACTGACCTTGTATACTGTGATCTGCTTTTTGCATGCGGCTATTATTTCAACAAAGGGTAAATCAGGACAAAGAAAATAGATATACTCTAACTGATCTATTTGGCTCCTTGTTAAACAGATATGTCAAAAGATTTAGATGAGAGGTTTGAATTGGTGGCCCAAGTGAAGGCTTTGTTCTAGTTGCAAAATAAAATTTATATTTCCTATTAGTGACGAGGTCTCAGATACCTGAAAAGGAACTATTTTGTCCTATATGAGAGCAATTACAATATTACAGGCATCTATAATATTTATCAACTTCATATACCTGTAGACAAATGGAATGCCAAGGCAGGAAAAGAAAATAAAGCATAATAGGCTAACTTCAGGTCAGGGAGGAAATTATATAACAGGATAAATAGAAAAGAGAAAAAGGAAAAGAAAGGGAGTTGTCCCTTTTACCCTGCTGCCTTACTCATAGCTATTCCTTTCACCTCCACTTTTTTGAAAAGATTAGAGTAAATCACAAGTTAGTGAACTACTTAGGGCTAGGTAAGTTAGGGAAGAATCATGTTAAGGGGCTGGTGAAAGGACAGTAACCATGGCTGCTTGAGAAGAGTGGAAATATTGTAATAAAAGTCATTGATTGTTATATAACTTCCACAGAAGATAGCTGTTAGGAAAATGAACAAAAATGAACCAAAACCAGAAAAGAAATTTCAACTATAATGAAACTAGAGAAACGACATAACTCATGTCTCAGAGTATGAAGAATATTTCCAATTTTTACCCAGTAAAGGAAAGCAGTGAGATTTGACAAGCATTTCCTCTATATAGTAACTCAATGCCATTTTTAGTAAGTAAACAAGATGTTCCTAAAGGCCCAGTAGTAATCGGATGGGGTAAGCCATGGAAGAATTAAGAAACATACGTCTGGGGGCCATTTACAGATTGTAAGGAAGGGTAGAACTGAAGAAGAGACAATGTGCCATACATTTTTATCTTCCAGGTCTCAGTTTCCTGACCCATGACTGAAACTTGGAAGTAAAGGAAGGCTGAAGGATTAACACTGACCAGCAAGGCAGATCTTCAACTGTTGACCAAAGTAAACTGAGCAGAGCAAATAAGCCCTGACTATAAGATAAAAATCGTATGACAAGCTAGATCTTCTTTTTAAAAATCTTAATTCTAGTAGCAGTGAGTACACCTAGTACTTAGATCTTGGTTTCAAATACTATACTCTAATAAAAGTAACCAGAGTTCCTTCAGAAATTGTAACAGAGGGAATGGCCTGAAAAATGGTAAAATGTTTTATAGGCTGTCTCTCTTTAAGACAACCCCCCAACTCTTTTTGGGAATTAAAACCTGCATATCTGCAGGAGGCTAGGCAGAAGGGCAGTGGACTGTTCTGTGTTTTCTTGTACCATAGGAGATGGCTCAATAGAATGGTTCAGTGGACATGAGATTGTCGCAAGATTGTCTTCCCTGGAGATGGGATGGACCAGAACCATCAACTATAGTTAAACAGAAATAGCCTGAAGCTGAAAACCCTCTCTTTAAAAGCTCTGTATTTCTGCTTATAGATAGGAAAATGGTACTTTAAAAATGTGAGTCTGCCTTTTCCTCATTTGCCAGCAAATTCATAAACCTCCCTTTCCTTCTCCTCAAACCATTTGTCCTCATTCTTATGTGGCCTCAGGGTCAAGTGCCAAACTTTTGGTAACAAAACAGCTGATTCTAGGACTAGGGCAGAAAGATGAGTCTGAAGCATCTTGTAGTGCCATAAAGTAATAAAGTGCTCAAAAACTGAAACCAAAAAGCCCTAAATTAATGGGGGTATGTCCAAAGAGCACATAAGTCAACTAAAAGAGCTCCCAATGGCCAAAGCTGGAACAATTTGGGCAACAAAATAAAGTGGTATTGTGTCATAACCAAAGTATAAAATAAATATCCATGAACCCATACCGATATAATAAAATGACTGAATATATAAATAAATGGGGGAGAAATGATAAACCATCTGTACAGAAGAATTCTAAATAATTTATGTAAATACTGCCCACTCAAGGAAGTAGAGCGTAACTCTCCATTCCTTAAGTGTGGGCTGTGCATAATGACTTCTTTACAAAGAGTACAGTATGGAAAGGAGAGGAAGAAAAACTTTACAGTGAATAAAACTGACAAACACTACCTCAGTCAGGTGATCAAGGTCAATATCAACCATGATGAGTCTTTTTGATAATATGTATCCTTGATATGATACAATGAAAATGGTACTTTAACTCTGTAGTCTTTTCTCACAAAGAAACCTATAATCCTAGTCTAATCATTAGAAAAACAGATTCCAATTAAGGGACCTTTTACAAAATATCTAAGCAGTACACATTTAAACTGTCAAGGTCATCAAAAACACAGAAAGTCTGAGAAACTTATCAATGAAAAAGAAACCTAAATTCTGTAAAATAATTTGAAGAGGTTTATTCCCAGCTGGATATGTGTGACCATGGCCCAGAGAGCCACATCCAAGAAGCCTTGAGCAAGTGGTATCACTGTGGTTGGGTTATAGTTTGGTTTTACACATCTTAGGGAGACAGGAATGACATGTAAAGTCATAAATCAATGCATGGAAGGCATACATGGGTTTGGTTGAAAAGGCAGAACATCTCA